CTGGTGAGAGCACATGCGCCTAACAACAAGACTGCCTGTTCGATGGTGGGCTACACCTGCCTGCAACTAAGACTGAACTCGGCACATTGAGCTGAATTGTCACCCGGATGGCTCAAGGGATAGAGTGTGCACTCTTAACAACAAGGCTGCTGGTTCGACTCCTGCCTGGGATGGTGGCTACACCCACCCGCAACTAAGATTGTAACACAGCACCTTGAGCTTAGAGGCCACGAGCTGTCAATGGGCTGCCAGATGGCAACTGGCATCCTCCACAACTAAGATTGAGGAACAACAACTTAGCTGGTCCCCCTCCCCAATTCTGCAATTTAAAAAAGAACAAAAACAAAAAAAGTTTTTTTGCAACAACGGAAACCATCAATAAAACAAAAAGGCAGCCAACTATTCAGTTGGGAGAAGATATTTGTCATTGATACATCTGGTAAGGGGTTAATATTCAAAATTTATAAAACACTCATTCAACTCAACACCAAAAAAACAAACAACCCAATTAAAAAATGGGCAGAGGATCTGAAGAGACATTTCTCTAAAGAGGACGGACATACAGATGGCCAACAGACATATGAAAAAATGCTCAACCTCACTAATCATTAGAAAAATGCAAATAAAAACCACAATGAGATACCACCTCACTCCATTCAGAATGGCATTATCAATAAATCAACAAGCAACAAGTGCTGGTCAGGTTGTGGAGAAAAGGAAACCCTGGTGCAGTGTTGGTGGGATTGGAAATTGGTGCAGCCATTATGGAAGTCAGTATGGAGGGATCTCAAAAAACTGGAAATGGAACTACCTCGTGACCCAGCAATTCCACTCTTAGGTATATCTATCCAGAGAAACCCAAGACGGTAATTCGAAAAAATATATGCACCTCTATGTTTATTGCAGCGCTATTCACAATAGCCAAAACTTGGAAACAACCAAAATGCCCATTGGTAGACGAATGGATTAAGAAACTATGGTACAGGGCCAGCCAAGTGGCTCAGTTGGTTAAGAAAGCGAGCTCTGAGCAACAGGGTCGCTGGTTCAATTCCCACTTAGGCCAGTGAGCTGCACCCGAGCTGAGCTGCCGCTGAGCTGCCAACGGGTGGCAGGATGGCTCAACTGGTGAGAGCACATGCTCCTAACAACAAGTTTGCCGGTTCGACTCCCGCATGGGATGGTGGGCTATGCCCACCCGCAACTAAGATTGAACACAGCACCTTGAGCTGAGCGGCCGTGAGTTGCCAACAGTTGGCCAGATGGTGACTGGACTTGGAGATGAGCTAGCTGTGTCCCCTTTTCCAATTCCCCAACACTGTTCTTCTTCCCCAATTCCCCAATAAAATCTTTAAAAAAAAAAAAAAAGAAGAAACTGTGGTACATTTATATAATGGAGTATTACTCAGCTATAAATAAGAATGAAATCTTACCATTTGCAATGATATGGATGGACCTAGCGAACATTATGCTGAGTGAAATAAGTCAGTCGGGGAAGACAAATACCATATGATCTCACTTATATGTGGAATCTAAAAAACTGAATAGATGAGCAAAGTAAAGAGAAATAGTCTCTGAGATATAAAGGAAAACTGATGGTTGCTAGATGGGAGGGGTGGAGATGAAGAAAAGAGGAAGGGATTAGACAGCATAAATTGGTAACTACAATATTACCACAGGATATGAAAGACAGTTTGGAGAATATCAATGTAAATATTTTGTAGGGTATCAGATAGATACATGTCTTGTTAGGGAGGCCACTTCATGGATGGCGTAGATGCTTGACCACTGCACTGTACACCTGAAGCTGAAGCTGAAGCTGAATAATATTGTATGTCAACTGTAATTTTACATATATATAT